AGAGAAGTGTCTCATCGTTTCATCTTCGAATAAATTTAAAGTTGCATCTAATTATTTTTTGATATCTGAATACTCGAATGTCAAGTCAGTATCGTTACCTCAGTTTTTCACTTATCAACGTTTCAGGTAAAGTTTGGCGTCTACATTCAATATATGCAATCAGCAACCTTCATGATGTTCTCGTTATTTGTCATCTTCTTCATTTCTTACGCAGCTTTCCAGCTCGGCCGTGGTATCTGGTTATCTCAGTGGTTCGTTCTTTGATGAAATTGCTCCTGGATCAGTTTGATCTATACTGATCATTTTCATCAGTGCAATCACATACATAGGTCCAAGTTCCGTATAAGAAGAAAAGGGGGGAGCACACGGAGATTTTGTAAGAAAATGCTGGTTGAGAAGAAAATACAAGGTGAAGAATGTGGACCTGCAATCAGTCTAAAATTGTTTTCAGGTCGAATGCAAACGCCAAAGAGACCAAAGAACCGGATCAGATGTCGCTAGGTGCACGACTTGGTGTTTATGCGGCTTTCGGTTGCGTTGAAGGTATTGATATGTTTGTGACATGAATGAAGTATTCATTACTTGTAAGTAATGTTCGTCGGGAAACGGGCTCCCCATCGGCGACCCCGGCGGGGAACGCGGGTAGCGCTCCCTCCCACGCAATTTGCTCCCCGACTTTTTCGCGGGGACCCCCCTGTCCATTTTTCTCTCCTCGGGGTTCCCCCGTGCGAAAAACTGCTCCCCGACGAACACTACTTGTAAGCGTTTTCATTCTCGTTCAAGCGTTTGCTCTCTAAACGCGTTGCCGAACCATTTCAGGTCTTGGTTTCTTTTTGTCACAAATATTTTTGGTGATTTCTGGTATAAATGCATCGAGGCATCTGCACACACCATTTCTGCACAATTTGCTACGCTCACCGATGTCCTTCTTCGACACAACGCCAATCGGACGAATACTGAATCGCTTCGGAAAGGTTTATTCTGAAAATATTCAAATATTTTCCCATTTCACCTACTTAACGGAACGAATCATATTGTTCCTAGGAATCATTTACATCTTCCTGTAAGATGTAAATGAAAGTCGGTTGAGGTCATACGACTTAAAAAAGCTCTCATTCAGACGCTACAACAAACTACTTAGCTTCTCGTATAAGATATCAATGGTCATTAGCATAGTGAAGAGAACTGTAAATTACAGAAATTATCTGCATCATTCAACCGTCAACATAACGTAGCGCCGCATAAACAACAAATCCTGATTGTTATGAATGTTTTCGAATTGGAATTTTACTTGTGATCCTGTAAATCCATTCAAATTTTTAGGATATCGATGTCATTGATCAATTGTTACCAGTGAATTTTCGATACTTCGTGATGTGTATTCTCAATGTGATCACAACTTTGACCATAATTGTCATATCGACGCCAATTTTTGCATCTGTTATACTGCCGCTTGCCATTCTGTACTACTTCTCTTTGGTAGGATCTACTCTTTGAAGGACTGCTGAGTGCCTTAAACGAAATAAACTTGTCACAAAGTTCAAGCTCTTTCTTACTTCTTACAGTAAAGAATTTTCTGAATGTTCCGTTTGGAAGATGGAATTTTTTTGTTTTTTGTCCTTCCAATTTAAAATCCTGCTTGATTTTCCAGGAAATTCCCCAACATAAAATCATTTCGACTCAAATTTCAGCGCTTCTACGTTCCGACATCACGACAAATGAAACGTTTGGAGAGTGTGAATCGCTCACCAATTTATTCTCACTTCGGTGAAACAATTCAAGGAGCATCCTCAATACGAGCGTTTGGAAAGGTGATTACTGAGACATTCGTTTCAAATTTTCATCTCAGTGATGATGTAAACCGGTTACAAACGATTTTATCAGTGGAAAAATTCATCACCATCGTTACCAGTTTAAAGGGAAGCGAGCAAGTGTATGAT